ATACCATTGCAACGATAGTTAGAGTATTTTAGTAGCGGCTATAACTTAAGACATATTCACTTCGGATAAGAGGCATTAATTGCCTACCACAGACGTTTTTTTAGCCGGATACACTGGGGATAAGTTGGTCCATTGCATGCCCCATGGGTCGGTCTATAGCCCAGCGGCAGTTAATGTAAGCGGCTATAGTACTAGAGCTATAACAGACCAAGTAATTTTACCCTAAGCATTTTTATGGTCGACGCTATGCTAGAAAGTAGAATACCGTGGACTATAAAAGTTTCACTGTGACTATATGCCCGGCAGCCGGGCACGGTCTTCGATTTCCTAAATGCCCGCAGTTCCTAACCCTAACCCTAAGCCTAACCAGTAACCCTAACCCTAACCCTTGTTTACTTGAGATAACGCTGAAAATTAAAAACTGCCGGGCATTTAGGAAATCGAAGACCGTGCCCGGCAGCCGTCAGATATATGCCGGCTGCCGGGCATATAGCCACTCTGTAAAAGTTTAGAGGGCAAGATATATTTTTACAAGTCCTGGAACTGGTAGATCACTAGATCAGTAGATGGCCGTTTCTTGGGGCTACCGCATATATAGTCTTTTTAGTCACCTCGGTCAATACTTTTGAACCGACTGAGTCAGCCTGAGCTGAACACTAAAGTTTCACATGTGCACAGTCACAGACACAGTGCCAGTGGTGGCATTAAGTGTTGATCCTGTACATTATCTATCGACAATATAATCTACCTCCACCTCTGCCTCTACCATCTGCCCCTCTTCTGCCATCTCTTCCTGCACTTTCTTCCTCTTCTATATCTGACAGTTTTCCTCAACCCTTTTTACCATCTGTCCCATGGATGTCTAACTTCTTTATCCACCCCGTTTGCCGACAATCACTGATTACAATATCGGTGACGGTTGGTGTGGCATGCACAAAATTTGCTCAGAGGAATATCGATAAAAAACGTCCTATGCTAGGATGAATAACTTTTTAGTTTATTATTAGTTTCAATGCACAGGTTAGGGTTCTCCCCAGGTTTTATTGCATGTATACATGCTTTGCGGCATGCCTTCAAAACTGAAGTTAATTTGCAACATCCCATAATTCCTCTGATATGCCTTAGTTTCCAGAACTCCAATGCAGTCATGCTGTTTTCATAGCATCACCAAATTGATCAAGTTTATCTGTGTAATAGGGGCCTATAGGGCTGCTTACGACATGCGTAGACTGATATTAGCAATCGGGGATGAATTTCCAGATTGCCGGATATGCCTTTTAAAATTCCTGACGGAAACCTGCCGTTATTGAGATAATCCTATTCAAGGGTGGAAATTAGTTTGAAAATTTACATCCTAGCCGGGCCTGTAGGTGAGGGATTTTACAGGCCCACCAGGCAAATTTTACAGGCCGGGGACGATTTTGCATGCTGGGGGTGGATTTTTTAAGGGCCCGTCGGGCTCGTTAGTATTAGAAATGTTAGGCCCGAGCCTTAAAATACGGGCATCGGGCCCGCGGGCCCCTTAGGATTTCTACCCATGCTATTGATTTAATTTTGTTTATATTTTCGTTCTGTGTAGATACTATTCAGACGTGAAGACAATATGAAACTGGATGTACCTGAGATATCATGGCATGACAGGGACCCTGTATACAGCGTGGATTTCCAGAAATACGATGGCAAGGTCAGACGCCTAGCATCCGCTGGGGCTGACAGATATGTTCGCATATGGTATATTCTAAAATATTTTTTGTGAAATTATAATTTAATAATTAAATGCATTCCAGCTTAGATGACTAAGTCTACCAGGTTCATTATTGTTCCCAGCATAGCATAGGGTACAAATACCTGCATATATATATATATATCTCTATATACAGTAAAACTCGCATAAGTCGTCATCGTCTAACTCGTCAATTCGCATAAGTCGTCATGGAACTCAAAGTCCCGATTTTCTCTCATAGTAAATCCATTGGAATAGCCCCGCCTAAGTCGTCATTTATAAGTCGTCGTCATGTACAAGTCGACACCCTCAGACAGGTCACATGTAATACAGACAACAGTAATTTCTCATCTGTAAGTCGTCATCAGAAATGCCGATGTGCGCCGCGGCAGCGTGTATGGGTCTAGAGGTGGCGGTCGAGCCGCTACAATGCATCCAGAACGTAGGTTGATCTCGTAATCAGGCTACGTTGTGTGCTTCCATAAATTTCGATCGACAGCTACACAGCAAGGACAGGGCGTACTGTGATCGACGCAGCTTCCATTCACAGTACAAGTGAGACACTGGGATCAGGGGATGTTCCAAGACTACATGAATCCAAGGCAGAAGGCGAAATATTCAATATTGAAGCTTTCGTTTTTCGCGAAAGATGTCAGGGAATACTTTCTCTCACCCGCGGGACAGGTTGAGTGCGAGAGGAATGTTGTTCGACGGTGGATTACCATCGCTAGGAATGATCAGCTTGATTAGATTAAACATTATGCGTGTTTATCATTAATATGTCAAAGGACGTGCAAAAGGACTCGAGGATGTGCGGAATTGGGGCGTCAGGGTGGTCAAGGTCAAGTGGCGTGTCAATGGATGGGGGAATATTTCCCCCTTAACTTTAAGAGGTATAGGAGGAAATACGGAATGCGCACAAATCTCAACGGACTTGACCTACGCTCTTAATATTCGATGTATATTGTGTGATGGGAGGACACCCATCACCAGCGGAATTGGAGGTCAGCAGGTACAAGGGCATGGTGGGGAAGGTCAGATATCGAGATTTTCTGGGACATCGGTCTAACAGGACCGAGTGCCAAAACTTTTTCTGTTTCCGCGCCTGACCTACCCTTTTTATCACTTTATTGAAAGGACCATTGAAATGATGCTTTCGTGACGTGCGAAGAGAGAAAGTGTCTTGGATAACCTTTTGACCCTCAAGAGGAGGGGTAAACACGGATTTGTGACTGTAACAAAGGACTGAACTGCTTTTGCTATTAGAGCCCCCTCCAGCCCTCTCACTCTTCCTCCACTTGGTCCCCATATTGCTCTGCGCTCGTGCTATCTTGTACAATGTTAATATAGCGATAGTTCATTAAAGGTTACACAGCCTGTATCTTTATTCACTGACTACCAGTAGGTATAGCAGAGCGCTATCATAGGATTTTTATCGATCTGTATTTGTAGTATCCTCCCTAGCGAGTATATGGCTCTGAAGCCGGCCGAACGCGGGTGGCAGCAGAGGGAGCACTTGATTTTCGTGTTGCCAGTGAGTTTTTAGATAATACCTGGCTACACACAGTAAACAGTCAGTTTGAGCGCCTGCTCGGCTCCCCGCGCAGACACTTGTTTCGCGTGTTCCAAGAAAAATTTGGCGAAGTGCACCGCAAATGTCCTGCATGCTCCAACTGAAGATCAACAGCGGTTGTTTGCAGTAGCCAGGTGTGGGCCGCGTTGCCCTAGTGCGTCGCTTGTATGATGCATTTGGCGGCCAGCAGTTGGTGTCGCATTGATGTACTGGGAGCCAATTGTTTCATGGTCTGCGATGTATGTC